ATGCTATAATATAATTATTGCTGTTATCTATGAAAGAAAGGCAGAGAGCTTTATAGTGTTTTTTTTTTCAGATACCCAATTACAGTCAAAAAGTACATAAACAATGCCAGCAAGAATGCAAGCTGTTATAAAGGACATAGGAGGCCATTTTTGTTATGTGAATAAATATTATTTAATTGTTTAAGTTTATTTGCCCAATAAATGACAATAAAACATTTTTGATTTAAACCATTTTTTGACAGATTCCTAAAATTCCTAAAATGTGTTTTCTCTTTATTATGGCAGGTGATAGCACTGCATGTTTTCATAGCATTCACTTGGAACGTTTGTTTGAAGGACACTGGGCAGAATGTGGAATAGTGTGTTTTTAGTCAATAATAAAAAAATAAATAAAAAATCGACAAAATAAGCATTAGTTGCAGCCCTGCTTTCAATTAAACTCTTCCCAGAACTCCTCAATTCTCAGATTCATTCAGCCGCAGCATCTCGGTCTTCTCTTCACTGTAACAGTGTTAGTGTGTCCTGTTCAGTGAAGCTTATATCTGAGCACCAGTAATGGTCTGTGTAGTGTTTGGAATATTCTATAACTATTAAAATAACAACAGACTGATGTGTTTTTATAAATATACTTACGTTTGTCCATTTTTATGACCACAATTTGACCTGCAAGTGTCAGCTTTGCAGAGTACCAAGTCATTACATTAGTATGATTTCTCAAATATTATGCAACAGTGTGTTTTCTAATTGGAATAGAGTAATGGCTGGGCTTTTTCTGCAATGGTTAACATTTTAATTAATTAGATTATTTAAATTAAATATTACCTTGATGAACATAAGCATTGGTTTCTTTCATTGACAAGTTTTAGTCACTCAACATTTGAATGGTAGTTTGTGTGTTAGTGAATTTATGTGTAAAATCCACTCTATCTGCATTTGACTAGTTGAGATGGTTGCAGAAAAGAACATTGAAAATATTGAAGAAAATCATTAGACAAGACTCAGTGATCTGTGTTAGATCTGTTTATAGTGACTGTTTGAAAAGTAATAACTGACAGAAACTGTTTCTGTTTGTTCTGCAGTTGTGTCTGCTGATGCAGTGAAGCCAGTGTCAGTGCTGGAGGGAGATTCAGTCACTCTACGCACTGGTCTTACTGATATACATGATGTGATACAGTGGAGGTTTGGACAGCAGAAATCTCCTATAGCTGAAATCAATAGAACGGCTGGGATCTTCAACACATTTGATGGTGCTGATGGGAGATTCACGGACAAACTACAGCTGGACTGTTTGACTGGATCTCTGACCATCAACAACATTGGAACCAGACATTCTGGACTTTATAAAGCTGACATCAGCAGCAGTAAACACACCATACACAAGACATTCAACGTGACTGTCAGGGGTGAGTCCATCAATTAAATAATGAATGTATTTAGATTAGTTTTTTGTGAAGTTTAGATGAACACTTATTTGCACTGAATTAAGGCTAAGAAACTATATGTATGTGGTACTGTTAGTTTATTTTTTTCTCAAAATCTCAAAGCATTATACAGTAGTGGTGTTCATAATTGAGTGCTTATCTCCATACATAATTTCAAACATCATTTGGTAAATTGAATTAAATGAAAAATTGAGCTTTGAATCATTCTGTTCAATTAGTACATTTCCAAACGCCAGTAAATATCTGATCTTATGAACACATTTCTTTGTTATTACTTAAAAGTAAATGTCTTATTAGACCTGATGTGTCTTTCTGACAGCAAATGGCTGCTGTATAAATGATGAACATTAACTGAGGGTTAAATCAGCTTTATTAGACAAGACTCACTGAGATTTGTTAACTGAAATTTATGACCAAAATAAAATTCTATCTCTATGCATGTACAGCTACATTATGTAACATTTTAATAAAAAATAAATAAAAAAAATACTAATGATACAATGCAAAAAAATCCATATTCTAAACCCAATACATGTAAGCAGAGCCCATGATCTGGAAATTAATTTGAAACAGTTTAGTTGGCATTACTGCTTGTAGTGATCTTATCGGAATCAGTCCCCCTCAGTAGAAATCATGTTCACTTTAATTCAGATTAATTTTATACTCAAGACAGCATTACAAGATTAATCTCTCAAAACTGTTTCTGTTTGTTCTCATGTGTTTGTTGTTGAGACAGATGATGTGCAGTCAATGTCAGTGATGGAGGGAGATTCTGTCACTCTACGCACTCGTCTTACTAAAATACAGACAGATGATCAGATAATGTGGAAGTTTGGAGACCAAGGCGAACTCTTTCCTCGCTTAAACGACCCTGTTAACGAGAAATGTTTTTTTACTAGTGATGTTACGTTCTGTGCCGAGGCTTCGGAGCATGTGTCTAGAAATCCCGGCAGCTTTCAGTGAAGCGCGTATCGAGGCTTGTATCGCTTTAGAGCAATGACGTCATTGATGACGTCCGAAGCCTCGCTTGGCCAGACTGGTTCAGGAAGCGGTTCGAATCTTGTAAATTCACAGTCCTCTGCCCTGTTAAACTCAGCCACTTGAGGCTTCATCTCACCATCACTATTTTTTACCCCTCGGTAAAAAACATGTCCCAGGCCCCCTCTCCCTCGCCGGGCCCTTGGAATCGTCCTAACCTTCCCCACCGTTACGGTGCCCCTGAGTGTAGTATTAATTTTCAGGAATGGTTTACTGAATGTGCCTTATAAGCACCGTTACAGCAGACAGAGAAACCCATTAAAAAGTCATGGCTCAAGAGAAAAATGAAACATTTTCAATTAAATATCAACATTACCTAGAGCTAAACCTCTGTTAATTCTCAATAAGAACTTCTGTAGATGTCTGACAGAAAGTCAAACTGGGGTGCATTTCCCAAAAGCATTAACTAGCTTGCAAGTTCCATTAAACTCTATCGGTAACGATGGAACTTGCAACCATAGTTGCTTTTGGGAAACGCATCCAGGGCCGTCCTTAGGGGGGTGCAACTGGTGCGGTCGCACTGGGCCCCGCGGCGAACGGACGGAGGGGACCCCCTTCCAATGTTCACCTGCATTTGATCAGTTGATCTGATGAACACATTTCTCTTCTTCTCTTAGTCATTCCTTTGATGGAAATGTCCTGTTAGACTTGAAATATGCCTTTATGACCAGTAAAGTGTTGCTGCAGAATTTATACTTTAATTAAAACAACTGAGAGTTAAATGAGCTTTATAGACTAATAGAATTTAAGTGAGAAGTGTAAGTGAGAAGTGTGAAAAATCTTTCTGTATGTATTTAATTCATGCCTGAGTCGCTGTTCCTCACTGTTCTTCGTGTGTTTGTTGTTGTGACAGATGCAGTGAAGTCAGAGTTAGTGACGAAGGGAAAAACCGTTACTTTACAGACTAATGTTACTGAAATACAGAAAGATGATCAGATACTGTGGATGTTTGGAGAGATTGTCATAGCTGAAATCAATAAAGCAGCCCAACGATTCAACAAAGGCAGACTGAAGCTGAACAATCAGACTGGATCTCTGACCATCACAAATGCCAAAACCACAGACTCTGGACTTTATGAACTGAAGATCAGCAGCAGCAGACACATCATACTCAGGAGAATCACTGTTACTGTCACTGGTGAGTAGATCAAATCTGTCAAAATAAAAGCGGTCTTATTTAGATCAGAGCTCTAAGAACAATTCTAAAGTTAAATGAACACAAGTGTTCACAACTCTACACTACATTTGAATAGTTAAACATAAAATTTGTATTTTAAACTGTTGTACTTCATCAGTTAATAAAGAAAATACTAAGACAGTTCAGCTGCATAATTCATGCCCGAAATAAAGTCAAACTGGGGTGCGTCTCCCAAAATCATTGTTAACTAACTATGGTCGCAAGTTCCATTAAACTCTATTCCATTGTACAAGTTCCATTGTGAAGTTGTTTAATCATACTCTGCTCATATCTTGAGAAATTTTGCAGTTGAATTCATCTAAGGTTGTGGCTGAAAGTCAGTTGTACTTCTTGTGATTCTGCTTATTAACAGGTTCATCACTAATGGTCAACCATCCCTTACAGCGGGGAAAATATTTATTTGATCCCCTGCTGATTTTGTAAGTTTGCCCTCACACTAGGCATGGATGCCTTGAACCGAGCCCGAGCGTGATTATCCCCCCTCCCCACTCCCCCGCTGGCCTGCACTCACACTTGCACTAAACTTTCCGGGCTGGAGCACGCTTACGTCATGTATGAGATAACGGAGGAAACCACTTTCGCTAATATTCTGCCGAATAATTAATAATAATTAATTTATAATTTATGCCGTGCATTGATTTTCACTTGTATGTATCAGAAAAATATTACGGAGGCAGCTGAGGTTAATGAAATAATTTGCAGCTTTACTCTAATAATATCTTTAAAATATTGCCACGTAACGTTGCAAACAACAATAAAATTAGAGAAGGACTTAACTGTAAGTGACACGAGCGTACGCAAAACAAAGGGAACAATAACATATAATGTTCAAAAAGTTCAGAGGATTTATGTTTCTTTCTTTTCCTGATATTTGTTATTTTTAAATGTTATATAGCCCATGTTTTTATAAACATTTTGTTTTAATTTACCACTTAGGCACGTTGACAATAACGTATATCTTCAACATATGTTGTCTATGACCAAAAATGTAAGAAGATATGTTTTCAGTGGACTTTTAAAATTAGCTTTGCTTGAGAAAACATAAAAATATACAGTTACGGCGTTTTTTTTTCTTTTGATTAGTCGAGTTGGTTTTGCATCAAACACAATGTAATTTTCGGCGCTTTGCGGACAGCTTATCTTGCGCATTAAATCACCTGCTCTTTATCATTACAGATGCAGGTCTGTCTACAACTGAAAAAGCATTGATTGGTTTTCTGGTGGTTCTGCTGGTGGTTGCAGCTGCTGTTTATATGATTTACCATTGCTGCAAAATCTCTCAACCAAAGTTGAGATGTAAGTATAACAGCTGATACAGCAAGAAAAAAAGAGCTTTATTGTGCCAGAGTAAAGATTTGAAAGTGTTTGTTCACAATCATGTTTCAAACATTTTGTGTTTATGTGTGTTGTGTTGTAGTTTTGCCCAGTTTGTTCATCATAAAAGCAGGGTTAAAAAGAAACAAAAAAGAAACATTGTTGTAGAATGAAGGACTTGGAATACATTTTTATACAACTTTGAACACCTATTTTATTCTTTGTGTGACAATGAAATGCATAGGTAGTCCACACATTTTAAAATGCAGAAGTTTTCAGTTACAGTTACTGTGTGGGTTTGGGTTAGGTTACAGTATTTATTAATAGCTTTAACAATAGAAGTCTGTGCAGTGTCCCCATTTAGATGAATAAACATGTCTCAATCATAACAGATGGAGGTCTCATCCATTTGGTCTGGTTGAAAGGCCAGCTTAAACCAGCTCAGTCAAGTTTATGATGCTTTTCAACCAAAGAGATCTAAACGTAGATTAATGGAAGTTATAGATTTATTTAAATGACAAGAAATGCTGAGCAGTAGCTTCAGGGTGTCCCAAAGGCAAAATAAGAAACAGAACCATATCAAACAAAACCTCTGGTTAAAATCCCTAACAGAAATTAAAATAAAATACAAAAGCGTGTGTGAGTGTGAATCTGATTCAGTGTAAAGAGGCTTTAATGATCGATCACTGGGCAGGAGACAGATGTGAAGCAAATGATCATGCTGATTTTGTTCCTTTCTGCTTCCATTGGTTTTATTCTCCAGCTAATATCTGTTCTGTGTTTCTCTGTTTGCTGCTGTGACATGAAGACAAGACACTCTCAGTGATTGAGGGAGAAACTGTCCCTCTACACCCTTCTGGTACTGAAATCATTAAAGAAGACAGCATACGGTGGCTGTTTAACGAATCTCCTTTAGCTGAAATCAAAAGAAAGCCCCTTGCACCTGTTGATGTTCTTCTTGAGAGTTTCAAACAGAGATTGGATTGGAATGAAAATCTTGGACCTCTGATCATCAAAAACATACGAATACAAGACTCCGGTTTTTACGAACTCCAGATCATCAGATCTGAAAATAACATCCAGACACTGGAGATATTCAATGTTACTGTCTATGGTGAGTAACTCAGATCTTTGTGTAACAGTGATTCTATGTCAGATCAACACTGTGTGAATAATTTAAATGAAGGACTGTGAGGTTTTTATTTATTTATTTATTTATGTCAAGTAAATGAATCATGTGATTTGGTATTTATCTTAGTGATGTTGTTTTTGCCCATTCAGTTATTTTCACTCTCACTCTGTACTTGATTCAGTTATAGCTTGCAGTATATGTGCAGTCTGCAGCACAAGTATTAAAAACATAATATGAGGCACAGTTTCATCTCAAATCACTTTAAAATCAAGTTTTAATGAGCTTCAGTACAGGTTTGCACTAAACCAGATCCATGTGTTGTGTGTTTGTGAACCACTGAAGACCTCGACAACTATCTGACAGCAAAACATGCAGTGACGGCACCTTATTAATCATAAACACATTAGCATAAGAACATCATTGAATTAAACTGCAACTGCCTTTTGATAGAAAAATGTATCTGCAGTTTCTCAAGTTTACCACTTGAATTAGAGTTAATAAGAATAAAACCATTAGACTGGAACAAACATACAATAAGGAGAGAAAACAAACAGGAATACAAAACAAATGACAATGAATCAACAACAGATAAACAATAACCAGTTTTCTAGCATAAACAATTAAACACTGATGTGTTTCTCCTGATGATCATACATGAATCAGAGAATATGACAACACACAGATCACAGCATACATGGGACCATTCATATAAGTTCTACCATCATTTAGATGTATATAACCTATATGAGAAATTACATTTATTTGCTTTTTAAAATGAGTAAATAGTATATTTTATGCATGGAGGGAATGATCCATGTTGCTTTTACTACTTTTCATTATGGTTCATTTGTTCTCTTGCTCTAATTTTTGTTCTGTGTTTCTCTGCTTCTGTGTGAAGCAAAGACAGATAAAATAAAAATAAAAGAGGTCAAGGAAGGAGGATCTGTCACTCTGGAGACTGGTGTTACTGGAATACAGAAAGATGATGAGATCCTGTGGAAGTTTGAACATGAATACAGTCACATAGCTGCAATCCAAGGAGGGAAAAAGAAAACCCCAACATTTGGTGCTGGTTGGAGATACAGATGCAGACTGAAGCTGGATGAGAACGGATCACTGACCATCAGGAACATCAGACCCTTGGACACTGGACTTTATGTATTACATATCACCAGACGTGGAAATACCTCATTACATTTATTCATAGTTAAAATCTCTAGTGAGTAAATCAAATCTATGTCTTTCAGTATAATAACGATCTTATTTTTGATCAGCACTGTCAATCGTTTAGATGAAGGACTGTGAGTTTGTATGACTAACAGATGACACTTTCGATGTCTGTTAGAACAGACTGTGTGTATAATTGTAAATGAATGTGGTAATAGTAAAAATTCTTAAAACTACAATTCCTCATTATATATACAAAAACCAAGCTTTCCTTTAATATGATCTCTCTCGTGTGTTTTCTTTCAGATCCCTCTGAGCCAGAGGAGATGCGTTTGATGAGTGTGGGCACTTCCAACTCCTGAATTGTCCATTCATTGTCAACATTCAAAATAAATCAACATCAGATTTCTCCTCATGTGAGCATCTCAAATCCCCCGTATGAACGAGCTGTAGATGTGTTTGTATGCAGATGAGCCGCGCAGTTAAACAACAGTATAGAACACAGAAACTTTTCATTTATTGTGAAGTTGAAGGATGTTCACATTGATCTGTAGACTAACTCTCATCTTTATTTGCTCCTCTAAAATAAATCGAATTAAAATTTCATATTCCATACCTGTTACTCAGTGCATATGATGCATACTGGATAAACCACTTGCTATTTCAGCAATTATTAGCCATAATATCTGATGCAAAAATGTCATGTATAGACTAAGAATGCGTGTGTACTAATCCGGTATTTCACTGACTAATGTGATTTTATTTTTATTTTTTTCATATGTATAACACAAGCATGTTTATTCTTCAGGTCAGATCAGAGTCTCTCTGACACTGTAACATTCTCTTCACTTTTAGAAGATGAAGTGTTTAATTCAAGAACTGTCCAGTGTCACGTCGTCTGTTCAATCTCTTTGTTAAAACTCTGATGTGACACATTTATTGCAGGAATTATCTACACATTTATATTACTTCAGTATTGTTTTGCTTTTCTGTTTGCTTATAACTGGTCTTGCTATAGTAAATAATTACCATTATCTTGTATCCATTTATATTTTGTATTATCTGAAGTGAATTTGCCCATCTGTGTCTCTGACCAGATGTGAATGTGAAATTGTAAAATCTGATACTCTGTTCATGATTAATCACTGTTGTGTGACCTTTTTGATTTTTTTATAGTTCTTTGATATGTTATTAGAGAAGCTTCAGCTTGTATCATTTGTATTTGCTGTTTTGAGCCGAACACACAGCCTTCATTTATGCTGTTACTGAATAAAACAATCAAAATAAACCAAAGAAAATTTAGTCTATTGTCTGGTTTATGTTCATCCTAATCCTCCCAGACTGTAAACTTCAAAAGATACTCGAGACACCATTTTGTGGTGATAATAATAAAGTTGTTCGGAATAAAACAATTTGACTAAAAACGTACAACAAGGAGAGAAAACCAATTATGATGTGAAACAAATGACACTGATATAAAGGGGGAAAAAATATGTATAAATGTGCAACCAAACAAAGACCCAAGAAGGGGATCACAAAAAAAGTACATTATGTAACAGTTGCTGTTGTAGTTCGTAGTTTGTCCTCAGAGAGGCGCCATGTAACAGACAGTGAAGTCAAGACTAGCCTTGGTAAGAAATATCCTTCTTAATTAAAACATAATTCCAGCCATATATGAACTTGAATTTTTATGACTAAAGATCTGTTTATACTGTTAGAGTGTATTAAGCTTGATACTGAAAAGATTGCTCCTACACTTAAAGTTATCTTTTTAAATTTCCAATGTATTAAAACCAGAGCAAATCATTAAAATATTATATGTACTATGCTACTCATACTTTAAATTAGGTTTGATTTATATATTTTTTATATTGTCTGTTTTCATTTTAATTTTAGTTCAAGTATGGAGGAGTGGAAGATGATCCCAGCAACAACCTGTGCAATTCCATGCCCAGGAGGATTAAGACAGTGCTAGATAACAATGGTGCTCACACAAAATACTGACACTTTGGACACAGTTTTGACATATTCACTTAGGGTGTACTCACTTTTGTTGCCAGTTATTTAGACAACAATGGCTGTATGTTGAGTTATTTTTAGAGGACAGTAAATCTGTACTGCTATACAAGCTGCTTATATACTTTTTTATTATTTTTTATAAACTTTTTATAACTTTGTTTTATTATTATCTCTATATATATGCAATGAGTACTATATGAAAACTATGTTCACTGTTTCCCATTTTCCCACTCATATTTTATACAATATGTGATTTAAGATTATAAATATGAGACAGATTTGACACTTTATCACTAGTCATTTCTGGAACCATCTAGAAACACGAAATTATCTGCAAGTTTTCAAGTATTTGATTTTATTATGTTTTGATTTTTTGTCCCTTGGTTCTCTAAAGCATTAACTAATTGAAGAAAAAAAAAAAGATTTCTAAAATAATTCTAAATTCATTCTAAATAAAACTGAATAACACCTGCAGGTTGCAGTATTTGTTCAGCGGTGCCTATTCATAAGTTTGATTGCAGAATATATAAAACGTTTAGTATGCCATTTATTTGTTATTTATCAGTCTACCCTTGGTCAAACATATGAGTAAAAGAAAACATTAAAAAGTTTCATAAACAAATTTGAAACACAAAGTTGGACGTGGAGTTGTCAAAATAGTCTCCCAACCGAATCAAAGATGCAAAATGCTGTTATATACTGCTAGCACTGAAGGCTATTGCGTGTGTGAGAGGGCCATTTAGCGTGTTTCACATTTGATTCCGCAAACGTTTGCGGCGAGATTTTATTATGATGTGCTGTCATGTAATACATTTATTTGAGTGAATGATTATCATCACTGTGTGCATCTTGCTGCGTGCCACCATATTCCCGTGATGTCATATAGACGCACATCTCGGGGACTTTTAGCAGTTAGCCTTTTTCTTTAGTTTGTTATGTAGCTGTTTTTGCATGTATAAGGTCTGCAAAGGTGCAAAGCTCAAAATCTCCTAACAACAGGATCTTTTTCTGTTTAAAAGGCTGACTGAGACTTTTCGAAAACGTCCCGATCGTGTCTACAACACTATGTGAAAATTTTGCATAATGCCGCCCAAATATATACGCAAAGAAAGAAGGTGTTGTTTCCGCCATGTTGTGGAGACGCTGTGTGTATGTGAAAGCAAAAGCACTTTATTTGGCCTTCCAAAAGTGGACGATTAAGAATCAATGGTTAAGGTTTATTTACAACACTGTTCCAGAACAGTAATGCTCGAGTGTGTGCAGTGCCTTTTATGGAGGACACCCAGCAAGCAATAGCCGTAATTTCACCGTCTCGGTTAAGTATAGACCCGATATAGTCCGGTTTATGTGTAACCCACTTCTAGCCCAAGTAACCTTGAATTTGGTTTCATGTCGTTTTTTGGCAAAATAAATTTTAGAGTTACACATAACTCTAACTCTAACGACATCATATTATCAAATGCGAGTAAACATTTGAAACATTTAAATTAGCATTATTTTTGGCATAATACATAATGCTATATTTAATAATGCTGAATAATGCTGTAATATAATTAAATAAAATATAAAATTAAACTAATTTAAATTATTCAAAAGTTTACTTGCATTTGATAAGAAGCTGCGTGGGCGAGCTGAAGTACTTTGAAATACATGAAGACTAATTTTTTATAGGCTTCATAGACGGATAAGTTGTGAGTGATTCTTGAAGGACCTCTTGTACCTTTGTTTGAAGAACTTATCTTCAAGAATCTGGCAGTAAGTTTTAGGATCAAATTTTTAGTCAATCCTGCAAGACTTTTCAAGATAGGAGATGGAATAAAAAACATGTGTCTTTTCTTCTCCACCTTTTTTTTGTTTTTTCTGATCCCGCTGTCCCAATAAGCATTTTGCTGTCCAGTGGTCATGCCTTAACTTTGCAATTTCTGTACTACATTAGTTTTTAATATTTCTCATGGGGATTTATAAATTTTTGACTTTTCAGTCTGAGTTAAACCTCTTTTTTTGGTTCATTTTATCAGTAAAAGAAAACATGCCTAATAATTCTGCACACATGGATATAAGGAGTTTTCACTTCCAGCCTTCATGGACAATTATGTATCACTCATAAATGATTAAATACAAAATTAATAATAGTTATTAAGATTGATGTGGTTTGGAATTGGTAAAATGTGCTTGGGAAAAAAATATGATCAGAATATGAACGTGCCTCATAATTATGCACGCAGTTTAGAATAGAGTAATTGCTGCTGAGGGCTGAAGCTTTGTCAGCACTGGTTAAAATTTAATGAATTGATTACTTTTAATTAAATATTACCTTGATGAACATAAGCATTTCTTTCATTGACAAAAAAAGTAGTGATTCAACATTTATAGTTTGTGTGTTAGTGAATTTATGTGTAAAATCCACTCTATCTGCAGTTGAGATGGTTGCAGAAAAGAACATTGAAAATGTTGAAGAAAATCATTAGACAAGACTCAGTGAT